CAACTCCATAATGATAAAATCGCAATTTTTCATACATCATTTTGTAATAAGCTCAAAAACAACAAAGAATATACTTTTTAGTTATATCCCACTGGGTAGGAAAAATTGTATTTCTGATGTTTCGTAACTTCATGTAAGCACTTCCTCAGTGCAAATAAATAGTGATCGATTATTTATTTACTCTAAAGAAATGGCTCCTATCAAGTTACGAAACGTCAGAAATACAATTTTTCCTACTCATTAGGATATAGCAAGAATTATATTTATCATAAACTTTGTACGATCAAGCTCGACCCTGGCAATGATACCTACAAAACACCTGTAGTGCGAGAAGGTGTCTATATACGCGTAGCCATGGGAGTGCAGACTCTCCTCACTCTCGGATGAACCAGGGCATTTGGGGGCCATATATATCATAACTATCATGAACAGACCTTCCAAACAACACTGTGCTCAATTAGCAAGGGAAAACATTTCTTAAAAGTTTCATTGCATAAATCATCAAGATTATGTAAAAAGTTGACTTGACATTCTATGTATGTATATACCTATATGTATTTAGATGGTAATCACTATGGCAGTTCTGTAAAGATTCACTTCATTAAAATTAGGTTATAAGTTCTTTAATACTAAATATATATATAATGAAATAGATTTCCATTAAAAATATTGTAATTCTATTCTTTTCACTTTCAAACGATTAATTAAGTTCTTGGTATATATGATCATTGGGCAAGACTATAGACAATCAGATATCGAGGTCTTCATAATCTAGTTAACGACCAGAAGAAAGAGGAAGAAGGAGAGATAGTATTGTCTAACTCCGGTCCTTACTCGTAATGTATCTTTCAGCTGTCCTCCATGCACGATTTTGCAGTGTAGTCCGTCGTATGAGTTCCGGACAATGTTGAGAATCTTCTCAGGTACTCACTCCATAGTGTCGAAGAAGTTCCCATATTTTTCTTCTATACATACTGTCAAACGCCTTCTCATAGTCAAGGAAGTTGATTTATAGGGTTGAGTTCCGCTCAAATGATTGTTCGACGATGATCCGTAGTGTCGCAATTCGGTCTGTACACGACCGATCCTTACGGAATCCAGCCTGTTGATATCGAAGTTGAGCGTCAACTGCGTCTTTCATCTGGTTCGGCAACACTCTGTTGATGACTTTTCGGGGAGACTATAATTTATGGACGAAGCAATCAAATTTGCGATAACAGGTCTTTGGATTTTGGCGCGAAATTTACTCATCCATTTGTTTAAATAGAATTTTAGCATTATAACTGATGTCAGTTCGTAATGAAAACTCTAAATCTAATTCCTGACCCTAATCATCAACTGTAAATCATAATCTTTATTCTTCACACTGATTTATAATCAACATTTAGCTCTAGTATGTAAGTGAATATTCTCATGGTCATTTTAGTGTCACTCGAATGTCGTCCATAAATTATAGGCTCAAAGATAATTATTCTAGAATATTTGGAAGTTTCAAAGTCAGTTTATAGCTCTATGTTACTAAGATTAGAAATTCATTATCATTCTACTGAACAAAGCATTTACTTACTGAAACAAAATAATTCATATGATTACTAAAAAACTTAGAATTTAACTTACAGGTGGTATTTGTCACATATTAACCTTAATTGGGATGCCTATAAAAGAAGGAAGCATTGAACAACAATTTCATCTCTTAGTAACGTGGGACACTCTAACAATACAATCCACAGTATTGTCCGACCAATATCCATTGACATTTGTAATATGTGTCTAAAACACCTCGATATAATGGAACCTTACCAAGCACACTATCCTACTCGAACTCGGAAAACTACCTTCTAGGAACTAATCAGCATTGAAGGATATGTGTGCATATTATTCAATTCTAAATATACTAAACGGATTGATGTTTATTTTCAAAGTGTTCTATATTAAGACAAAATAACACTCTAATACTTACTGGTTTTTCATTGGCTATCTGATTAATACCAGTCACTAATATAAAGTATAAACTGAACAATCTCCACAGAACTTCCGCACCACAAATATTGAACATATGGAAATAATAATATGATTCATTGTATTCTGATTCTATCTCTTCACAGCTACATGGAGACAAATATGGTTAGTTCATTTGAGATTTTAATTAAATATTAACTCGTAGGGAGAACGTACAATCGATTGACAGTTTAAACCAAAGACTGAATTTTTTCTTAGCAACAACTGTAAAGCAAATTGTTTATAATATTTATTCCCTCATAATATAGGTATCATTTATTGTAGACATCTCCCACCTCACCTAAAATAGACTCCAGGACATTTAGGTAGCACGCTAGCTACATCATAGTGTGCTATACATTTTATACCATACAATCATAACAGTAGATATTAAAAGAGAAGATTGAATAAATAATTATGTTACTGTGGTTTAGATATAAGTAGTATGTAGCATCAATCGAAAGTGAAATGCCTGAAAGCAGAAGGTTAAGATTGAAGAGAAGAGAAAGAGAACGGAGAATGAATGATGAGGAAAAGAAGAAACAATCAAATTTGAGACAATAGATTGACATTTTGCAAGTGAAGCATTTAACGTACGGTTCTCAGATTTTACAAAGACTTTCTGTAATGTTGTATACAAGTATATTCGATTGTCCCGACTTGTGTCCTTGTTAACTATACTATCTATTGTTTTTAAAAAGACAATAACCCAACTCTATTTAAAATAAAAATCTTTCTAAAGAAACATTTGTAGTGAAAAAGAACACGAGCGGGGACAAACGAATGTACTTGTATAGATAATTACAGAATACCCTACGAAAATCTGAGGACCAAACAGTAAATACTTAATTTGCAAAATATCAATCAATTGTTGCAAACTTGATTGTTCCCTTTGCAAATATGTTAGTCGTCTCAGATTTCATTGTTCTTGCATTCTCATACCAACTGCTTTTCGTTCCGCTCTTTCTTTTTCAATCTTCTACTGAAATAAATTTTATTCTTGACTATCGTTGTATACTACTTATGTGAATATAAGTAGCTCACACCACACCTTTGCAATGATTAGGTAGCTTACCAATGTTTATTCTTAGTTCATGATATACATCAAACAGTATTTATGATTCTGTAGTATCCACGGTTGTTCAATATTCAAGTGTATTATTTTAATGGCTGAGATCATGAGTCAATTGAAGTTAGACCACCATAGAAAACTTCAATGCACTGGACGGCCGTTTCGTCCTAATGTGAGAATCCTGAGCAGTACACATCCACGATCCCGTCTGGCAAGATTCGAACCCAAGACCTATCAGTCTCATATGCGAGTGCTTAACCACTAGACTACTGAGCCGGTATCCAACGGTATTAATGTCTAATTTAAACTAATCCACGAAAATGAGCGACAAATTCACCATTATCTTCAGTCAGTTACTATCTCACAACAAGAAAAACTGAATAAAATCTATAACTTTTATTCACAGAAATCAAAACTTTAAAAACGCTTCAATAGTTTAAATTTATAAACTCGCCAATAAATTTACTACTATAATGAAATAAAATACAAATGTTAGGTTTAAAGCTATTATGAGTTCACTTAGTATGCGAATGGAACAAAGACTTTTGACCGTAGAACAATAAGCTAGCTATTTGATGCATCCCATCGCCGCAAACTAGAAGAAAAAGTCCAAGCTTGGAACGGGAATGTATATCCTGTAATCCAGAAGCACGAGTGAATAATAACAGACACAAATCAAACGTATATATACAGCATAAAACTGTCCTTGGGAAGCGTAGCAAAAATAGCATACTAAAAAATACACAACGAACCAAAAGTGTTAAAGATTCTCCCATGTGGGAAATATGATATGTAGGTGAAAAATGCGCGTTTGGCGCGTAAACAGGGAAATATAAATTTCCAAAATAAAATTATAAAATTAAGGCATTTACTGAGTTATGAGGATCTAACATCCCCAATAACAATAAAAAAGAATATTTTTATTCAACTATTGTTTCTTCTCATCAGATGGACATCAAGAAAAAGAGATTAACTAATCTCACTCCTTCTCTCGCTCTCTTTCTCTTTCTAACATAAAGTCTATAAAAGGATATAAGAATACAAACATGGAATGATCAGCTAATCAACCTTCAAAACCAAAAATCTATTCAATGTACAATCTATTCATGAAATTTGTTTATCTGGATATAATAGATTAAATTGATGAATAAATTTTGTTAAAATTTCAATTTTCTTAATTGTAATGGACTATGATACCGTGAATTTAAGATCATACATGATTGATTGATTATTCTAGTTGTTATGTAATCAAACAAAATTCAAAATAAAATGGAACTTTTTTTAGGGAACCATCATTCTCCTTCTCATCAAATGCATATGGAGAATAGAGATTGACTACTTTCACTCACTCTCACTCTCTCTCTCTCTCTATTTCTAACATAAAGTCTATAAAAGAGTAGTATATATATATATATGGAAGAAGTGTAACAATACAAACATCATATAATGGTGATCTGATCAATTTGTATAGTTCGAATACCTTCAAAAACCAAAAATCTAATCAATGTACAATCTATTCATGAAATTTGTTTATCTGGATATAATAGATTAAATTGATGAATAAATTTTGTTAAAATTTCAATTTTCTTAATTGTAATGGACTATGATACCGTGAATTTAAGATCATACATGATTGATTGATTATTCTAGTTGTTATGTAATCAAACAAAATTCAAAATAAAATGGAACTTTTTTTAGGGAACCATCATTCTCCTTCTCATCAAATGCATATGGAGAATAGAGATTGACTACTTTCACTCACTCTCACTCTCTCTCTCTCTCTATTTCTAACATAAAGTCTATAAAAGAGTAGTATATATATATATATGGAAGAAGTGTAACAATACAAACATCATATAATGGTGATCTGATCAATTTGTATAGTTCGAATACCTTCAAAAACCAAAAATCTATTCAATGTACAATCTATTCATGAAATTTGTTTATCTGGATATAATAGATTAAATTGATGAATAAATTTTGTTAAAATTTCAATTTTTTTTAATATTAATTTTCTTAATTGTAATGGACTATGATACCATGAATTTAAGATCATATATGATTGATTTATTATTTTATTTATTATATCATTATTATTGAAATATAATAAATTACTTTCAGGACTTGTTATTGATAATAATTTTTTATTGAATAATATATGAATCATTTTTTTTAATAAATCATTTATAAATTCATAGAAATATTGATATTGCCAATTATATATTGATTTTTTATTTAGATTATTTAATTGATTTTGATCTGAATTATTAATTGATTGATTGAATTGTTCATTAATTAATTGTAAATATAATTCAATTATATTTTTTATATTAAATAATTTTAATAAATTTGTATGATATAATAAATCATTGAATTGTAATAAATTTAATAAAATTCTTATTGATTTATAATGTAAATAAGAATGAAAGAAATTAATTTTTTGTAAAATATAATCTTGTTTAATAGAATTACATATTGACCATAATGGTAAATCAGGATTTAATTGATTATTGATTAATTCTAATGAAGGAATATATTTTAAAAAATTCTGTTTCCAATATATAGATATATATCGATTTGTTGTAGTTGCTAATTGAGTTTTTGAGAGATGATTATTCATATTAGTATTAGTATTAGTATTATTATTGATTAAATCATTAAATGAAAAAACTGGATGAAAATTAATATACATAATTAAAATATTTGGCATAGTAACTGATGAATGATAACTTCGTTCTGATTTATTATTATTATTATTATTATTATGATCAATAATTGATGTTGATAATAAATGATTACTTTTATTCAATTGTATTTTACGTGTTAATTGTTGAGTTTTCCATAATTCCGATTTATAATAAAATGAATTAACACCTATACTATTTAAATCAAATACAACCTTGAAATCAAAAGAAAAAAAAAAACAAGAAAAAAAGAATCATTTATAGATTTTTGTTAGAAAAAAAAGAGGGGTTGGGGGGAGATTGTAATAAGTAAAATAGTTGAATTTCTGAGTTGATTAAAACTAGATCATTGTGAAAAACCTGTAAGTACTGAACAGCTGTTTTGACATAGTATCGAAATCCTCCGTGTCAGTGAGTATCTATGATTTATCATGTGGAATTTCAGTCTATTCTGGAATGAAATGGCTGTTCAGTGCTTCTAGATTTTTCATGATGGTCTAGCCTTAATTAATTCATCAAATCAATTATTAAATCTATAGATTTGTTGAAATTGAAATGAATCGTATTCAAGGAGATCATAGAAATGGAAACAAATCAGTTTGACGGGAGGTTAAACGTCTTGACATCCTAATCCCCTTACTATTCTATAGTAAAAAATGATTAGCAGATCTGTATAATGGATGTTAAATACCGCCTGCCGTGAGCAAGGAGTAAATCATATAAGCCAGTAGATTAGTCAGAGCATTTTAATCTCATGATATTCTAAAACATTATTGATGAATTAATGTTTAGAACTACCTTGTTGAATCTATTCATATTAGACTATTGATCAGCTAAGTATATCAAATAGATAACTTAATGTATTTTGGGTATAATTTAAAGATTTATTTTAATTGCATCGTAAACTTTCATCTATAGCCTTTGAATACATCTTTTATAACAGATCAAAACAGTTGTTATTTGGTTGATTCGACTATCACACAATATCATAGTATAGTTCACACCATATCGAGTCATTTAAATTAGTAGTGGCTACATCTAAACGTGATCTATAGAATTCAACCAACGTCAAGTCATGGGAATGAAATATATTAGTCACTACTCAATGCTCAATTAGTCAAATCTCCAAACGTGTATAACTAGGACATTTTCAAATCATAACTGATTAACAGATTCCAAATATTAGTATACTGTAATTTATGAATCAAAAATAATTTTAAATCACATATCCACTAGTGTTAATAGTGTATTACTAATGTTTGAAATGAAGGTTTGTAAAGGTTAGAAGTTTCATAACTTTACGATTCTGTGAGCAATACTTTAGAGGTAATAGTGATATATATAACAAATGAAACCAAGAGAATCAAACTTTACTAGTGTTATTTGAGTAAAAAAATATTAACAGTGAAGATTTCTGTTGAGTTGCTTCATATTACATAAATACTGAAGCTCCTAGGTTCGAATCCCGAGAGCGAGATCGTGGATGAGCAACGCTGAGGAGTCCCACAGTAGGACGGAACTGCCATCCAGTGCTTTCAGGTTTCCAACGGTGGTCCAACAACAATCGATTCATGATCTCACTCAAAAAAAATAAATACAATTGTTATGCAAGGAGGTTAATCGATATCTAAAGAAGTTAACGCTTTGAATTTCAAGATTATTAGTGAGTTAAAAACAGCATATTCTTAATTCTTATTGACACTCCGATACAGACGCCTTCTTCTACTACCGGTCTGAACGAGACAAAATAGTAGGCCAGCTTTTATTATCTATATTTGAAACACCCAATATATTTTAAGATGGTATGGATGATGGATAACAGTGGGATCAATGACATGAGTTACGTTCTATTTGGGGCTCGTCAGTTAGATGTACCTGCATCCCAGATTTGATATTCACTCCGGGACTTGGACCCAGTGCCGTTCGTCATCACATCATCTACTCAGCTACTGAATCCAAATAAACACTAGCTTGTGTGATAGGGTGAAGTTGAATTCATTTTTGTATTGGTTGCTTCAATCTTCTCATATGCTAAAATAAGACTGATCAATTGAAGACTTAAACATCAGTGGGAAGATTAAAGCAACCACTACAAAAATGACTCAATACATTTATTTCAAACATTCATTAGTTCATTCATGTATGTGAATTGTTAAAACACGACGCACCTCGAATAAAAAACAAAACTATAAAGTCGTTTATAACAATATGCGGTAGAGAAAGAAGTAAACGATACATAAATAAATAACAATAATCATAGAATAATAGAATGTATAAAAATATTTCATAGGTCCAACAGAAGCTGACAATTTGAAGAATATAGAAATACATTAATTCAATTATGTAATAATGATACAATAACAATGTAAACAATCATAGTTCGTATATTAGTTTCGTAAGTCATAGCATTCCCAGTATTAGCTCCTTTAAAATAGCAATACATGTAAAACAAACTAATTTAACTAGTTAGGATTTAGACTCTTATTATTACTTGATACGAATGATTGGATCAAAGCAGTCAATAAGAAAAATGGATTCAAATCCCGTGAACGGGATCGTGGATGCTCACTTCTGAGGAGTGCCACAATAGGACGAAACGTCCGTCCAGTGTTTCCAGGTTTTCAATGGTGGTCTAACATTAATCAGTTCATGATATCAATTAAAAATGGGTTTCACAGATTAACAATAATCGACATTCAACACGATGTCTCATTGAATAGTAGTTAATATCAAGAGAAGATATCATCCTTGTCACTTAACAAAAATAAGACATTTTGTATATCTTTTAAGACAAATCAATATACGCTGACTGATTCAAATACAGAATTGTTTATCCAATATGTGTTTATTTACACCATATGGAAAGTACTCAACCAACTATGAAGTAATAAAACTGTTACGTTGTACAATATCATGGAATGTTAATTTCTAATGTAAACAGTACCTATAGTTATTTGAAACTTAAACAAATAAAATACACAAACCAACTACTACTACTACTACTACTCAATAAATATCAAACGCTTGAGATAAAGAATTACAAATGATAAACCTATTCTTTATTATACAACGGAATTGTCAGTAATAGAGGGTTGTAAATTTTGTTGAATTTCGTAGATTTCTTCATCTCGAAATCCTATTGGTTGCACAGGAAAACTGCTTTGTCCAAATATAAAGCATTCTTGGTAGTTTACATTTACAACTCTATCAGAGATTGAAACCCGGGGACCTTTAGGCCTCATAATGAATGCATGACTTTTGAACCGAAATTCTACGATACTATCAGTGGATATATATGCTTGTAAAATTATTCCAAAATTATTCCCCGAATACCTTGGTATGAACGAGAGAAGAATGAGTCAACTCTTTATCACGAAATGATCTCACATGACAACGAGTATACAACTATTGCCAGGGAAGTCCTATTCACTACCTTACTGCATTACTGTTGTTTACGAAATTAAGAGAACGGAAATCAAATATCCGACACTTTAACTAAGTTGGTGGATATAAAGGATCCATCTAGAGAAGTTAGGAAATCCTCAATCCAAACCAATGATATATATGGGCTGTCTCCAGTATCCTGAAGGAACAAATGATGTATGAACCAATTGTTGGTTACCAGTTATCACGGGACTGCATCTCTTTACATTGCTCTATTGTCTTATACATTAGACCTTTAAATCAAAGATCCCATAACAAAATCACCTGCTTCTGTTTAATTACCCAGGCAGTATCCTAACCCTCATACAAATTGAATGATTTATATGACACATATCTCTTTGATACTTCTTTGTATCATCTCAGTGTATATTACCTAGAAATAAACATATTTCTAATAATCATAACTTACTTCAATTGGATAATAACCTTGTTCAATTACTTTATTAATATCATTATCATTAAATAAACATTTCCAACTAATTACTTTTAAACTATTCTGATTTAAATCATTTATTAATGTTGCATTTAAACATTCCGGTAATATTATTGTAAATAATAATTGACATATTTTTTGAGGTGAAATTAAATCCCATTGATCCAATTGATCAATCAATGTAAAATGATCAGAAATACGAAATAATTCATATGGATCATTGATTTCTTGTTTTTTATAGGATTCAATAGATGATTCCATTTTCTCTATATTCATTGATGGTATAGTTAGATAATAATAATTTGGTATATAATTCATAATAGATTGTTTATTATTATTATGATTATTATTATTATTATTATTATTATTATTAAATAAATATGGTCTTAATTGATATTGATTAGGTTTATGTAATATAATATACATATCCCATTGAAAATTGATTTTTTGATTTCGATATGGATCATTATGTGTTGTTATTATATCTTCTATAGAATATAACATTAAACTTCTTTGTAAATAACTATGCCATAAACATGTTACAGGGAGAATATCATCAATATTTAAATGAATAGTACAATTTTTATTAGATTTTAAAAGAATTTGTCCAAATTCAGTTAATATATCTAAATAGTTTTGTAACCATTCTATTGTCCATAGTTTAGTATCATCATTAAATAATGAAAATGTATTTTTATTCAATAAATAATCAATAATTTGTTTTTGATCAAGTAATTGATCCAGTAATAATAATTCAGACTGTAATGATGTCATATTATTATTATTATTATTATTATTGATTAATGATGTTTTATGTTGTGCAATAGAATGTAATCCTTGTCGTTGAGTAGTTTTATGAATGGTACTCATCTTGTCTTGTTTTTTTTTTTGGTAGGTATAAAAGAGAAATGAAGTCAATAAGGAAGATGATGAGATTTGTTTGAGTTAACAACAACAACAACAACTAGAAAAAGAAAAATGATAACGTACTATTTGTTATAAAGATAACAACATGTGATATTCAATTTATAAAGAAAATAGATTATTGGTGTAAATAGAAAAGTACATCAAAGTTTATTGTTGTTGTTGTTGTTGCTGTGTTTTTTTTAAAGTATATTTTGGTAATAAAAATTTATATGATATTGTTTGATTGTAATTATCCCATTGTTGTTTTAAGACTGTAATTGATTAGTCTTTGATTAGCATATATGCATTTTAGTATGGATTATTTTAATATTGATTTAAGTCATAAGAAGGTACATCATAAATAGGACAAAATGTGAATCCTATATTTCATTGCTAATCAACATTTTTTCTTTGCTCATAAAGCTAGCGAATTAAGAGAATATTGAGGAAGTTTGTACAGGATGAACATATATCAATAAGACACTGATCAATTACAATCTAAAAACAACAATTATTTATTTATTTATTTGAACATATAAATATTGGTACAAGGGGGCACCAAATATATATGCGCCACACAAAACAATGAGAATTTAAGAAGGGAAAAAAGAAGTAAGGAGCGTAGGGGATTATAAAATTTAAAAAAAAAGAACAATAATGGGGGGAGACGAAAAAGTACAATCAAAAGAAATCTTACATTTAAGGAGGATACAACCACTTTTTATGAAGAAAGTAAGAGGTTACAGCACGATCGCCACTGGCTTCTATTCTGAGCCATATCTGATAACGTCTCTAGCCACTGCGTTACACCATCTCTCGGACCCCAACCAGGGAGTCGTGAAGGACCAACAGAAGCTAGCCCTTTGCAGCTTTCTTTCATACCACGACACCATGTCATATACTGACCACCTCTCCGCTTTTTCCAACCAGTCCCAGAGTCGGCAAATAATGCACGACGAGGAATTCTCTGGGACGACATACGTAGAACATGTCCAGGCCAACGAAGTCGGTGTTTCAAGATGGTGACACCAATTTCATTATCGTCTCTGTGACCGAACACACGATGCCGAACCTCTGCATTACTAACATGGTGTTGCCACTGGATGTCAGCAATCCGTCGGAGACAGCGATGATCGAACACAGAGAGTCGTCTAACATCCTCAACTCGGAGAGGCCAGGTTTCACAAGCATAGAGCAGAACTGCTCTCACCGACGCATTGTAGATCCGATCTTTTACAGCCAGACTAACATCACGAAGGCGCCAAAGATGCCCCAGATTGGCATAAGCCGCTCTGGCTTTCACTATACGTGGATTGATCTCATCACTCACACCACCACCAGCACTTATGCAGCTACCTAGATACACGAACTTCTCGACTACTTCTATCTGCTCACCATCCAGAGTGAGTACAGGATTAGAATCCTGCCAGTCTTGTAGAAGTACTTTGCACTTCGAAGGTGCAAAGCACATACCATACCTACGGACACTGATTGCCAACTGATTAAGTGAGGATTGCATAGCTTGAGCATTCTCGCACAGTAAGACAATATCATCCGCATACTCAAGGTCGAGAAGTCTTTCTCCAGGCAACAGATCCACACCACCATTACTTACATCCATCAGAGCTGTTTCCAGAATGTCATCGATGGCAAAGTTGAAGAGGAATGGTGAGATTGGGCAACTCTGCCTAACCCCACTGCTTGAATGGAACAATAATACAAGGAGGCACAAACTATATATCAACCAAATTAATCATTCGGTTTGTGTGAGGGATAGGATACTGTGCGGGTGCCCGAATAGAAGCAAGTGGTTTTGTTAGGGGGGAAACTTGAAGCCTTTGACCTAAAAGTCTAATCCACAAGAGAGTGGAGTAGTGTCAGGAAATGCTTTCCCATGGTAGCCGGTGACCAATAATTGGTTTCTACGCCATTTGTTCCTTCAGGATACTGGAGCCAGCCAATGTGCACCATTACTTTTGAATGAGGGTTTTCCAACTCCCTTATTGGATCATCCATACCCACGAACCCTCTTACAACGCCGGACATTCGATTTTCGTCCTCTTAATTTCGTAAACAACACCCCCTCCACGACAAGGTAGTGAGTAGGATTTCTCTGATAGTGGTTGTATGCACGTGGCCATGTGAGAGCATTTCGTGATGGAGAGCTGACACTCCCCACTCTTGGCCGTACCAAGGGAGTTAGGGGCAAAAAAATAACATTGGGAAGATACAAGCAAACAATACCATGTAAATTTAAACTTCACTCCATTGCACATGCTAGTGGCAATAGGGACTCAGTAGCTAAGTGGATAACGTGATGGCGTTTGAAGTGAATGGTACTGGGTTCGAGTTCCGGAGTGAATATCAACACTTGGATGCAGATACATCTAAATGACGAGTCAGGAAAGCGACGAAACTCGCGTCCTGGGTTCCATTGTTAACCACCATTCATCTTTGCTTAAATATATTGTAGTTATTTTTTACAATAATACTCAATATTGAAGTATAAATGAGACCATCTACTCACTTACCAGATTATCTAACATTGAAAACTATTAACTGTTAGTAGTTTTCAACAGTTTCCATGAATATATTTAAGTAAAATTCTTAAAACAACACTAGTTACTTAATTTCATGTTTTTGTAGTTCTTGTCTATCGATAAAATATCAATATGATTACTAGTCCTAACAACTCTTTATCTCGTAAACTATGTTTTGATGGAAGGGCAGTCTACAGGAAACACAGGACGTAAATTATATTCTAGTTGGTACTCATTAGAAAGAAATACCTGTAACATTGGTAGAATTGATCATTCGTGTAGGATTTCAACCAGTGTCACAGTTTGATGCGTTATCAGTGACCTATATAGGTTATGAGACTAACCTCCTATAGAACTATGATATTAATAGTCGATCATTCAACGAGTAAATCATTAATCCAATATTATCAATCATAAATGATAGGTCTTCAGATAAGATTTTCTGGTTGTTTACAACTATTGAAGAGTAGCATGAAATGTGACGACCAACTTAATTTTTGGAAAATTTCTTATATATGCTTATTCAAATCTTTAGAAATGGTGACAATATTCAGTAAGGATGTATATGTTAGCAATACGACTAACAGGAGAACTATGAATAATGTTTTCTTAAGTCATTTATACAATAACCAAGAACTAGGCCTATTAATTAAATATTAATTTATTGGAGAAAGTAAGCAACAAAATAATTTTCTTCAATCGGCTGTGGTATTTCATTATGTTTGCATCATGTTACTATTTTACATATAAGTATGCTTACTCATTACATAAAAAAGGTTAATTGTTCTGAGGTCTCAATCAATAAACCGGGTTTCTCACTTTCATTAGACTGGTGAGAAGAATGTAATAATCTCGTTTATTGTATTGACTGATGTTAGAGTTTTAAAATAGTTAGCTAATGACAAACCTGTCAACCACTAAATTAAAGTTCTGCCAAGTTATCATTACATAAGTACTCAAACTTCTCTACAAGTATCAAGTATAATAGTTACCTCCAAAGTTCTTATTACGAAATCACGTTAAATTTGATAATTTCGGAATAGTTTTTGTCAAAAATCAATATTAGGTAAACAATAAGTGGTAAACAAAATCCGATCGGTTCCGTACTTGAATGGATGATACTAGTAACCTAAATGTTTCATAGTCCTTAAGGAATCTCATACAGTCGGACCCGAACAGAATACGAAACGATAGAACTATGGAAAGAAAACTTATTCCCATGGTTAATTTTGTCTCAGAAAAAATTCATAATCGTAACCTCAATGTTTTAAAAGCATCAAGACACATGTCGAAACTGATAGCCAAATCGGTGACTATTCAATCAAAACATGGTACGTAAACCATAGTCTTTTTAAAATTCTCAGAGAAGTTCCTATTAAAAGCGTATTAGACGAGATTCTTTCACTATTTTTCCAGCATCACACCACTAATTAACCCATGTTATCCCAATAAGAAACTTAACAATCTTGAATATTAGGAGATATCTTTATATAATATATGAACTGAAGGAATTACAGGAAGTTAACTAAAAATAAAATTGTGCCATATATCTTGCATCAAACAGTGGAGTAGGCAAAGCCAGCATTGCTCCCTTACGTTAGAACCAGTGAATAAATAAGGTTAGGTAAAATTTAGGGTGATCGGTAAAGATGGCAAATCAATAGATGGCGTTATAAATACCTATCTGCCGAGGTAGTTGATCAAATAAGGGACGAGTATACTGAGCAGCATTTATTTCTGTTCTAATTTACAGCTGCTACTAGTATTTGACTACAGATGTCATAGAAATATTGCTCGCATCTGCTGGGATTACCGGGTAAGTAATAGTGAGGTTAGATGCAGGGTATTAGGGAATGATGGTAAATCAGTTGAGGAAGTTGTGAATCTACATAGGCTAAGATGGTTAGGCCACATGGTATGTATGCCTGAACATCGATTACCACGACGCGCAGTGTTGACTACTGTTGAAGACTGGTGGGAAGTTATGGGCGGCCAAATCAAAACGTGGCATTAGTCCTTAAAGTCACTAACTTCTAGTCAGCCATGTTGGTAGATGCAGACTACTTGGTTAAGGTCCACGCGACTATCGTAACCAGTGGTTAGACACGGGATGACATGGCTCATGATCGACCACAATGGCGTAGTTGTGTACACTCTCTGTCTTCCCTTAAACTATGAGATTAAAATCCCTTCATATCTTTCTTTCTACCAACTGATTGTTTCTTCCTGTAGTATACCCCTATACGCAATCTTTCTTTCATATACTACTATCATTGAAGTAACTACTTCAATGAATTTGGTGTTCATCTTATTGCACAAATGGGGTGTGGCAACTTGGACTGATGCATATATGTGCCTGGTCCCACGTTGTAGCTGACTGACTGTATCTGAGGTAGTTGAGACATATATTACTTATTAGTAACCACACTCTACTTCGACAGGTGACGTCAACCGGTGTAAAGTTACTGGAGTAGTCAAACCACAATGTGATATCTGTACAAAGAGTCATTAATTGTTAGTTTGAGCTACATTAATAAACTCAGGTTACCTGATCGGGATCCACGATACAACCGCGATCAATCGTTGGAAACACTAGACAACATAGCTCAGAAATAATGGTCGCAATGCCACAGATGCATTCATTCACTTGTCATCTTTTCTTGGATTCTGAGATTCAAAATTATTATCCAACTTTTATTCCACGAATTCATTTTTTTTTGTTTTTGAATCAAATCCTTTACAGTGAATACTTTTTACTAATATTGAGACTATCACGATTTTTACAACCTTGGAACTTATCTCACTAAACTGATGCAATGTAGTATTTCGAACCGACACACATATGTTCCAAGGATCTCGAGTTCGCGCGCGAGACTGAAGACCCTGGGTTCGAATCCCATGAGCGGGATCATGGATGCGCAATGCTGAGGAGTGCCACAATAGGACGGAACGGCCATCCAGTGCTTCCAGGTTTCCAACGGTAGTCTAACATCAATCGGCTCATGATCTCAATCAAAGACTAACTGATTGATATCATATTGAACCACTTAATTGAAAATCTTCATTCCTATGATACCGACGAGAATTGAACGCTTAACTAATTCATATTTTCAACTTTTAAACTATCCTATAGTTTGAAAATAGAGAAATTTATAAAAATGAAGAAGTATTCTATATTCTCTGCTACTCGTAATATATTTATGTATAGAAAGAGAGTTGGTTGAACAAGACAAAGAGAAGATAATTTTGAAAAGAGTTGAGAAGCACACACACACATAAAAACTTTCTGAAGTAAATGGTCACTGTTGTTGTGAAAGGGACGAAGAAACTAGGAGAAAGGTTTTAATTTGATAATATTCATTTATATATAAACAGTAATCATGAAAGAAATAAACAGTATAGATCATTATTACTATTATTATTAACATGGAATACTGGATTCAGCTTTAGGTGGTTCGTTTAATTCTATACCATATTTAGCAAATCGAGCTTCCAGTTCAGGACGAAAATGTCGAACAAGACCCTGAATAGAGACGAAAATGAAAGAAAGAAAAACAAGATTATCAGAAAAGTGTTCATAAAAATTAATTAATAAGATGTTGAATATGTGTGCTTCATACAATGCGGCTGTACATGTTTATCGACGTCGAATGTTGGCTATAATAGGAATGGAACAGAAAAATACTAGGGTCGTAGAGATTTATTTATTTAAACACACAAACATTGGTACAAGGAGGCACCAAATATATATGCTTCACATAAATCATTCGATTTGTGTGAAGGCTGAGATACTGCCTGGGTGCCCAAACCAAAGCAGGTGGTTTTATTAAGGAGGCACACCCGGAGCCTTTGACCTTGAGGTCCAATCCACAGGGCAGTGGAGCAACGTCAGGAGATGCACTCCCATGGTGGCCGGTGACCAACAGTAGATTCATACGCCATTTTACCAACAAGGTCGTTGAGCCCATGTACACTATTGGTTTGGAATGAGGGTTTTCCAACTCCCCTAGTTGGGTCCGCCATATCTATCAACTCAGTTAAAGTGTCGGACATTAGAGTTTCGTCCTCTTAATTTTGTTAACACCTGTTGTAGTGAGTAGGATTTCCCTGAAAGTGTTTGTATGCACTTGGCCATATGAGAGCATTTCGTGATGGAGAGCTGACACTCCCCATTCTCGGCCGTACTAGAGTATTTGTGGGCCAAGTGAAGGGGGCACCCGGGAGATGAAGACATGCAACCAGTATATGATATCACTTAGTTTCGGTCTGAATCGCATTGGTTATTGCAGATATTCTGATCGATGCCGAAAACAATACCTATAATCAAGGATTAGAAATGTTAAGATAATGTGACACAAAATACTTTGAAGTAGAACAGTTGCATTTATTCTCTGTCTTTTCTCAAATCTTCAGTTTTTATATTATTCCATACCGTCTAATAATCTCATTTCATTGCTTCGTTTCCAACCATATTCTCTAAATCTATTTATACTAATACTATTGGCTTGACCTCTTTTACCATTCATCATCTTACCGTTATTTATTTATTTTAACACATAGATATTGGTACAAGGAGGCACCAAATACATATGCGCCACATAAATCTCATTTGATATATGTGAGGGCTGTGATACTGCCCGGGTGCTAATGTGGCACAACAGGTCGGGGCCAATCGCTAATTGTGCTACATTGGTGACTGACTGTCCTGTTATTATTACCATCACTAATACTAATGATAGTGTTTCGAGCCTTTTGGTATATCTCTTTTGAATTTCGTTCCGTTGTACTGACTGATAAGACATGTCAACTTGAATTAACAGAAACCTCTCCTAGATCCTACGTTTATCATGATTAACTTACATTTTAAGAATTTAATATGAAGTTGTTGTTGGTCGATTACCACAGACCATATAGACTACGATCTACTAGGACAAATGACTGAGGATTATCAAAATTTGATGCACCATAATGGAAAATACCACTGAATATCATCAAGTGGACTTAAATCCACAAATTCAGATGGTACGTAATGAGGGAACGTTATATTTCAAGGAATATTTCAAAATCTGGACAATGTTTAGACATTAATGGGACATAATTTTATTATGTTTATCAGTTGGAAGAAAAGTAAAGAAGAAAGAAATAGTCCAACCTACTTGAACAGGCCATGCAGCTCCATCGGCTAAAGCACAAATTGTACGTCCTTCCATTTGTTTAGAAATTTCCCATATCATATCGATTTCATCCTTATTAGCGTTACCTTTAACTAGGAAATGCAAAAAATTCATATAAACACACACACAGAGGCCGTGAAGGCATAATTGCTCTTGAGAGAAAAAATCACAGCAAAATTTACCAGGTACACGTTGACTTACCTACCTTTGAGAAACACGTTTATTTTATGAGGAATATTCAATTGTCCACTGAAATCATGAAAAAGTTCAAGCTAGACAACTACTGAACACCTAAACGCACTGGAAGATCATTTCTTCACAATATAGGACCCGTAAGTAGTGGGCATCCATGACCCTGCGACTGGAAATCGAACCCAGAACTTTCATTTTCAAAGATCAAATCTTAACGTCTAGACCACTGAGTAGGAATCCCATGATGAACAAGTCTCACCTCAATCGAGTCAGAACATTTTGAAAATATCTCTCATTGTATTCAGAGGGATGTCTTCTTCACACTCGACATAGATGAACTTCACTGATTACGACTTCTCTCTGGATCTGGGAATCTCTCCAAGCTAGTCGGTAGTCAGCATATGAAAAATGTCAGTATGGAGTTGTGGAAATTGATGAATTTCATTGAATTCACGAAATAAAACAGTCGCCCAGTCCTTCCAAGATTTCAATTATCGTCCAACTTAGATCGGTTTGTGATCTCAATGAAATTAGACCGTCTCCACAACATCATATTGGTAGAAACGCGTTTGAGATTTGTTTATTATATAATTGCATTACTCATGAGTAACTAGTCCACCAATGTATAATTTCATGTATTTCACTTGCAAAACTTCACTTAATTTATCATCTTGAATGTAAGACTTCTTTTAACCTAAGCTAATTATTTCTAAATGCAGAACCACTCATATATATAAATTCCAAGTGGCCAAGAAAGTCTCTTTTGACTTTAATCGACTTCGGATGCGTCATTTTAAGTAATCTAACAAAGAACTTGAATTCTTGCGATCGAGTTCAAACCGAACTCATCTAAGCTAGGTAAAGCCGCTTACAATACTATAGTGGGATGTGTCTGAGAATAAGAATTACTATGAATTTACAGAATTGTTGAGGGTTTTGAATGTACGTATACATACTTACTTACCAAATCTAGTCATAATTTGACCTAACCAACGACATCCTTCACGACATGGAGTACATTGACCACAACTTTCATGTTCATAGAATTTAATAAGACGTGAAATACAATTCACAACATCAGCTGATCGATTCATTACAATTAATGCTGCTGTACCTAAACCAGAATTAACTTGTACAAGAGCATCGAAATCCATTAGGACAGTACTACAAATACTGAAATATATGATAATAAATAAACAAATAGTAAATCAAGTAATTAGTGAAAATATTGAAAATATAAAACTATTTTTCTAAAAAAGAAAAATCTATGAAGAAAGCCAGTATTCATAACCAACATGAACCTCGGGTACAAGTGTGCAATTTTCTCAAATTAGTTTGTCATACTGAATTACCATGAAGTGAGCCTAACAAAATCGATGGCTATGAGACAAATCAAGAGTGGCAAAGCAGCAGGACTAGACAGCATTCCAGCAGAGGCACTGAAAGCAGACGTAGCGGCAACTGCAAGGATACTCCACATTCTCTTCAGAAAGATCTGGGATGAGGAACAGGTACCAAAAGACTGGAAAGAAGGACTTCTAGTCAAAATACCAAAGAAAGGCGATCTCAGCAACTGTGACAACTACAGGGGAATCACTCTTCTTTCAATACCAGGAAAAGTCTTCAACAGGGTATTGTTAAACAGGATGAAGGACTCCGTAGACGCCCAACTTCGAGACCAACAGGCAGGATTCCGTAAGGATAGATCGTGCACAGACCAAATCGCAACTCTACGGATCATTGTGGAACAATCAATTGAATGGAATTCATCACTCTATATCAACTTCATCGACTATGAAAAAGCATTTGATAGCGTGGACAGAACAACACTATGGAAGCTTCTTCGACACTACGGCGTGCCTCAGAAGACAGTCAATATCATACAGAATTCCTATGATGGATTAAACTGCAAAATCTTTCATGAAGGACAGTTGACAAAGTCGTTCGAAGTAAAGACCGGTGTCAGGCAAGGTTGCTTACTCTCACCCTTTCTCTTTCTCCTGGTGATCGACTGGATCATGAAGACATCAACATCTGAAGGGAAGCACGGGATACAGTGGACATCTAGGATGCAATTGGATGATCTAGACTTTGCAGATGATCTGGCTCTTCTATCGCATACACAACAACAAATGCAGGAGAAGACAACCAGTGAAGCTGCAGCCTCAGCAGCAATAGGTCTCAATATACACAAAGGGAAAAGCAAGATTCTTCGATACAACACAACATGTACCAATCCAATCACAATTGACGGAGAAGCTTTGGAAGATGTAAAAACCTTTACATATTTGGGCAGTATCATCGATGAACACGGTGGATCTGATGCAGATGTGAAGGCACGGATTGGCAAAGCAAGAGCAGCATATTTACAACTGAAGAATATCTGGAACTCAAAACAATTGGCAACCAACACCAAAGTCAGAATTTTCAACACAAATGTGAAAACAGTTCTACTGTATGGGGCGGAAACCTGGAAAACTACGAAATCCATCGTCCAAAAGATACAGGTGTTTATTAACAGTTGTCTACGCAAAATACTTCAGATCCGCTGGCCGGACACTATAAGCAACAACCTACTATGGGAGAGAACAAATCAGATCCCAGTGGAGGAAGAAATCAGGAAGAAGCGCTGGAAGTGGATAGGACACACATTGAGGAAAACACCCAACTGCGTCACAAGACAAGCCCTCATATGGAATCCTCAAGGTCGAAGGAGGAGAGGAAGACCAAAGAATACATTACGCCGGGAAATGGAGATAGATATGAGAAAAATGAACAAGAATTGGATGGAACTAGAAAAGAAGGCCCAGGACAGAGTGGGTTGGAGAATGCTGGTCGGCGGCCTATGCTCCATTGGGAGTAACAGGCGTAAGTAAGTAAGTAAGTAATGTAGTAGTAATGATCAAAAGAAACACCAGGCACTGAAAATAATGTCCCAGAAAAAAAACAGTGAAAAGTGATCTATGAAGGAAAATTAGAATTCAAGAACTAGAGCAAGATAAGGAGTGGATGCATCTGTTTCACTGTGATTAATTCTAAAACACGTAATTCTAAGGCTACAACCAATGACCATAACTAAGTAGTTTGCATCTACCTACATGACTTAGATCAACAGTCAATGGGTTAATGAACTAATTATAAGTTTTCGTTTGTCCGCATCTAATTTCCTTTTAGCTTACTTTTACATAAACCAGTTAACACTACATATTGACGTAGACAGTGGTTATACATATGTATAAAATGTCCCAACCACCTAGGTTGATCAAAGTTGATAATTCTATCAACCGATTTACAATTTTTGCCAAGTATCCTATGCCTAAACCAAAGGATTCCTCATTCAGTTGTTCTATATTCATCATATCTGAAGAAAAAGGTTTTCACAACATAAATAGATAGTTTAATAAGTTATATAAACACCATGTAATGTTTAGATCAGGAAGAAAATCCCATTATTTTAATTAAAAAATATATATGCATATAATCTCCCTCAACAAATATCTGAACTGAGCAACTAAGAATACAAATTGAGAACAGAATTAAATAAACAATTAATCCCATTAACTCCAATGACTTGTTTAACTGATAAGAGCTTGAATTCTACTATAAGTAACTAATCTGTTAAATAATTACGCGACAATTCTCATTAATATTCATTCAGCAGTGTTAGTCCGCAAATTTCCAACTCATAGTAACAGTAATAGTAATTGTAGAAAAGATCAGGCATCCAAGATACGACTCAAAAGGAAAATATGAATTAGCGAAATAAAAACACAAAAAAGGTTATGATGAATTCAAAAACTCACAATTTGAATTCAGACAAATAATGGATGCACCTACACGATTGCAAACAATTGTGAGCCATGTCATCCAAAGTCACTAATCACGTTGAATTCAACCAGGTAGTCTACACCTATTAATATGGCCAAGTCCAATTGTCAATGACATGGACTGATGACATGTGTAGACACGTGACTTCAATCATTGTAATCAAGTTATAACATTGATGTTTTTTTTTTTTGTAAATTTCACAAAATTAAGACTACTAACTTGACACCCGAATGCTTTACATATCTAACTTCAATCAATTCAAAATACCCGACAATTGGTTTACAATTTATTAGTAAATAACTTACTCTTTAGGTAATAATGGAGTAGAACTACCACCGGGAATAACAGCTAATAGATTATCCCAACCACCGATTACACCGCCAGCATGTCGTTCAATTAAATCACGCATCGGTATGGACATTTCTTCTTCAACGGTGCATGGATTATTCACATGCCCTATCAAGAAAAACATGTATAATAAAATCTAAATTAGTCAGATAATGTAAAATTAAAAATTCCATTCAGTAGCTAGAAATCCATAGTTAAATTAGACGAACAAAGATAACACTGAACAGTAGGCATCCAAGATCTAGGATGTTGAGAAATTTGTTAAGAAGACAATCATGTCACACAGAGTGTGTGTATTCATTTTTCGGATCCATGAGTCCCATCATCAGAAGAATTATTACTTCTAAATCCTCACTTTAAGATGAAAAGTAATTTTATTACAGATATCAGAAAATTAGAGATATATGAACAAAGAAAATTCTTTTTAATCACTTTCTGTCAACATGGAAACAGACATCCAAAGGGCGAATAGCAACTAGAAACAACTGGAAAGGATTGCCCAAGACAGAATTCGATGGAGAATGCTGGTGGGTGGGTTATGCCCTTCCACGAGGGGTAACAGGCGTAAGAAAGTCACCAAATATCAGATCGATCTTCGACCTCAGATCAATAGCATATGAACATCTTTCAACTCAAATCTAATTAATTGTTGCTATCATAGTGGTAAATAAAACTACCGATGTTTTTTTAAATAAAATAACACAAGGAGACGAAAACCTGAGTATTACGCAAACTAGATAAAGGAACTGGAACTGTCCTACTTGACAAAAAAAACTACTTTGACAAAATGAATATCATTGTAAAGAATAATCGGAAATTTGAAAAACTGAATGACTAAAAAGATCTTAATAAAAAGATGGAGAATGATCTGACCAGATCTTTTTTAAAGAAGCTCAGAGGTCAACAGATAGTATCATCAAATATGTACGGAACAATTAAGCTGGTAAGAACTGATCTATCAAGGCTACATAGATTGACAATATGTACATAAATCAGGTGTCCTATTAAAACTGATTTCAGACAGGTATAACTCTCGTAATCATACCACAATAAGGTGGTTCGCAACTAGTTTGAAACTACTCCAGAGACAGTTGATAGAGCACAGTATTTAGGATATATTTCAATTCTTCAGCAGAATCAAAGATATAAACAATAATGAGCCAACTATGATGCCCTTAGTTGTAATGTTATGATTTACAAATGTCCCATTTATGTAGATGGTGGAATATATTTGTGAAAAACTCGAAAAACATGAAATAGGAACTGTGATTCTAGTTAGAATCATAGTAGGGTGAACTTCATATTTAATGATGAAATATATTATAACAAACAGATAGTGTCACAATGAGTTCATCACCAGGTCCCATGTTAGCGAACAATTTTCTAGAAAACAGTCCACTGCTACAGCTTATTCATAAGTCCCCAGTTTATTACCGATATATAGATAATAAGTTTATGATTTGTAAGGACCATACTGACTCGGAAGAGACTCACTCTCAAGAGATTTAATGAAGTTCATCCGTCTTCTAAATTCACATTTGAGAAAGGAAATGGAGGCAGAATAGCCTTTCTAAATGTTTTCCTTTCAAAGAGAGTAGATGGGTTACAAAAAAGGAGCCAAAAAAAGAAAAACACTAAGACGGGTCAACAGAAGAACTTTTCTTTTTTCTTAGTAAATTGGATGAAATTCGTTAGTTTCGCCCCTCCTCAATGTCAAGATACTCCATTATAGGAATAAAGACCACATGCTCTCTGTAAACAGATGGAGAAAAAATAAATGCAATGATTGGTACTCTAAAAGAAAATGGGTTCCCGGAGAAATTTATAAACAAACACAACGAGTACAAAAAGAAATCCTAACGATAAGTAAAGAGCTGCTGTTTATGCTTAAAGGTAACCCATTCAGGTTGGTTGACATAATCCTATTTACCTGACTACAAAAAAACACTTAATTAATTATTCAATGAATCACCTGAAATATTGAATAATTTAGTGCCACGATTTCTTTCACGGCCAAAGCTTGCAAACCAATCACCACCACGACGACAAATTGTAGGTGAAACAGCTACAGTTTCAACATTTGTCACAGTTGTTGGACAACCGAATAATCCAATATCCGCTGGAAAAGGTGGTTTTAAACGGGGTTTTCCCTAATAAGAGTGTGTAAAAGGAACAAAAATATTTCTTAAAATAACCATGAAGGATTTAATTTCTAGAAAGCATTTTGTCAATGTATCAAACAGATAATACATCGGATGAATACAAATGATTTGAAGATCGAAAGAATGACAAATCCAAATAAATTTCAACTACATTTTGATATCATGAACAATGAATAAGTCGATTAGAGTGCAAATGACATATGAGATTGATTTTTTTACAACCGTCTGTGAAAGTTATTCATCACATCTTGAGAAAGAGTAATTATATGATTTAGCCAAGGATAAACTTACACTTTAGGCTACATCGATATGAAACTATAAATTTACTTGATTTTGTGGGGAAGGTCACGTTGGCCACACAAAGCGATTACTTTCCAAACGCATCTCAGAACATCAGTCGGTATGGTTTTTAAAAGGAGAATGCAAAACAATCACCAGTTCAATAAAGGAGCACCTAATCAACTCTGGACATATCGCTCCAGAGAAATCTTCCTTTAAAATAATCTACACAACCAAGGAAACTACATCGAACGGAGGTCAAATCAAAAATTTATGCACTGATGAGACGTTTGACGATCCACTAATTCAAGCCGGGACCCCGTGTACAAAAACAATACGTCCAACCTCTCATCATTCCTTGACCCTAATTTCATTCCCCAGTATGCTTTGATCTTGTTTTGTATCTATTATTATTATGTACTTTGTTAAACCATTGTGGTGAACGAGAACACAAGTGTAAATAAATCATATAAACAGTGGTGTATTCATAGATCATTTCAATTTATTTTCGGGGTCAAATAAATTCATATCACAAGTTTTGGTGATCTCACTATGCGTCGTCAGACTCAAACTTTTCAGTAACAAGCACAAATCAGTAAAGCATTCAGGAAACACAACAAGTGGCAGATATAACAAAGTTCTCACACAAAAAAGACATACAATGATAGAGTAAAAAAACACTATACCTGTTTTCCTTCAATAGATTCAATTAGAGCGGTTTCTTCACCACATATATATGCTCCAGCCCCACGATGAATATAAACATCGAAATTAAACCCAGTGCCACATGCATTTTTCCCCACGAGACCAGCTTCATAAGCCTGTATAAAAAGTTCAATATATATATATATATATACCGTTGTACAGCTTCAAAGACAAACTCGTTGGTAAAAAATACCTCCAATGAATTATCTCATAACTTAATGGGTATGTTTAAAATTATATAATTACATTTTCTACAACTGTCAACTACTCACTGATTACCACAAAGTGAAGTCTACCAAACCACTCACTAAAATAGCTGATTGGGAGTACAAAGATGATACAACATTTTTTTCCTCCCGTGTCTAAAGGATGAAAATTAATAGTAAGAAAATCGAAGTAGTCAACACTTAGTTAGTCGGTCAATCAGTCATCACGCAACGTCTCCAGTCACTGATAGTAATTATTACATACACCCTAACCAGATAGAGGTCTATATATACCAATACGACTCAAATCAACGGTCAATGACTGACTTCGTGGACTAACCTCGTCTTCGCTTCGCCAGCAGAAGTATAATTTAGTGATGAGTCAATTATAGTGGCTGTTAGGTTTTTGAAAAAAATTCAAATATCACGTCTAACGAACAGTAGAAATACCTCATTTTACTGCTCAAAACATTTCAAATGATAGCAGAAAATTATTTCTTTGCAACGATAGAATAAAAATGACGATGCTAAATGTATCAAATGCTTAATTCTGTCTCTGTAGATTGTAAATCGATGCTACCCTTAAATCCTAACCTTAAACCCCTAGTCCTGAAATACCTTAATCTGAAGGAACTAGATTTATGAACGAACTAATCAGATCAGTTAGTCAGCTACAACGTAGGACCAGGCACATAGTTGCATCGGTCTATTAAATTTTTATGCGAAATCAATTCATTTATATTCCTACAGAACACTGTTACACTGTACCTAACGTCAATTTATGATGAAAACTCTAACTCTTACCCTGAATACCCAGCCATGATGAAGGACATTTTGAGAAATTTTAGGCTTCTTTATAAGAAGTGTTTAAAAAGATGGAAAATCTATATTCATAAGGACGAGTTTATATGTTGTTGTTTTTCAGGGGGGGGGTAGACAGACAGAGTAACCTGAGGAGGAAATTAGCAATATATTTAATAATTACGTGAGATCGGTTCACAATACGCCATTTTATTGTTTTCTTTCCTATATATTATACACTAATAAAAGCTAGGATTTTTTATTGGCTAGAAACTAGCTGGAAATTTGTTGTGGTTGTTTTCAGCTCTTCTACAAAGTATACTTTTGTTGGAGTTTTGTTCTCTGAGCTGGACCAAACCATCCAGCTCAGAGAACAAAACTCCATCAAAATCATCCACCTGAGCTACAAATCTTCTCCACCATCACAAAGTATACTTTTATTGATTCACCTCTCTTATTTAGTTTCAGTCAGTCAGTCAGTCAGTAACAACGTGGAACTTCGTACGTACGTACATCAGTTCGAGTTGCCATACCACATTAGCACAGAGATTCAGTTATCGTCTCAAATCCCATAGTGGTAGAGGTACTGAAAGTATAAGTAGAGATAGGGGACATGAAGGTTTGATGATGTTATTAGAGGAGTATAGTCCAGTGGAATAAATTGGGAAAGAAAATAAAGGACATGAAGAATTCAGAAGATTAGAGTTTGAGAGAACACAAAGAGTGGATGCACCTGCGCCATTGCAAACGATTTTGAGCCATGTCATTCAAGGTCTCTAACCATCGGTTGCTATCATCTCGCGGTCCCCAACCAGGTAGTCTACACCTACCAATATGACTCAGTCCACTTGTCAGTGACCTCATGGATTTGTGCCATGTTTTGGTCTGGCCGCCCCTAGCTTTCTTCCAACCTACTCCTACACCAGAAAACATAGCACGTCGGGGCAGTCGGTGGTCGGGCATGCGCAGCACATGTTCCAGCCATCTCAACTGATGAAGTTTCACTACTTCACCAATTGATTTGCCATCCTTACCTAGTACCCGTTTCATAACAACTGCATTACTTACTCGGTGGTCCCAGGATATGCGAGCAATGTTTCGAAGACACCTATGATCAAATACTAGTAACCTACGAATATCCTCTACTCTTACAGGCCATGTTTCACTGCCATAAAGTAGGACGGAACGAACTGCTGCGCAGTAAACACGTCCTTTGGTTGATAGACGGATATCTCGCCTACGCCACAAATGACGCAAGTTGGCAAAAGCTAGTCGAGCCTTTTGTATCCGTGCTGAGATTTCGTCACACACCAAACCACAAGGGCTGATGAGACTTCCGAGATAAGTGAAGCGATCGACACGCTCAACTACTTCACTCCCTATCACTAGTTCGGGTGTCGACGCAACCCAATCCTGAAGCAACATTTTGCATTTCGAGGGAGAAAATCGCATGCCGAACATGCTTGCATTGTTGCTTAGAGTGGTCAGTAGATTCTGCATTCTGTCAGCGTCTTCACCAAATAGAACTATGTCATCGGCATATTCTAAGTCAACAAGTGGATCTCCCGGTAGAAGTTCAACTCCTGGAAATTTAGATGAGGAAAGTGTCATCTCTAAAAGGACGTCAACGACAAAGTTAAACAAGAATGGAGAGAGTGGACAGTCCTGACGAACACCACTTGAGGTAATCAATTCTGATGACAGTTAGTTTCAGCAAGAAATGAAAGCAAACGAATGACAACCACTACCGAATCAAAGTGGAAATGATGATTTACCTCTTTGATGGCTAATTGCATATTTGACGCTTCATTATAAAATTCACCACGAATATAAATGTACGCTGCATTGGCACCCATCGCTTTTCCAGCTATAAGACAACCTTCAATAAGTGTATGTGGATCGTGACGCATAATTTCTCTATCTTTACATGTACCAGGTTCACCTTCATCAGCGTTAATTACCAAATATTTAGGTCTAGACAAATTATAATAGTTACAATAACAGTAAACAGTAAAGAATAGATCAGTGGTGTAAAAAAACATATTAAATTTAAAGAGAGAGTGGTACGGAGTAGGATATGTGGCGATAATTCTTACTGCAATTGTGACACTGTAAAACAACAGCTCTATTATATTTTAGCCGCCAGCCACCCTGAAAGAATCCTGTTAAGACTTATTAGAAAATACCAAAGAAGATTAAGATTTACACTCAGGTTAATTTATTTACATATATCAATTCAATTATCGTTAACTATAGAATTTTATCGAACTAATCAGCTATCATTGAACAAAACATCAGTATTGAAATCACTAATACAAGGGGAAATGCATCGAGAACCAAATAACTGATAACAACTGAAACACACAGTTAGTGCATAGAATTTACTCTGAATAATGTAATAGAACAAATGCATTGAAGTTGACTGGATGAAAATCACCTTTAATTCACATGAGGAATTAAGATTGATTTTTCTCTTCGTTCAGAGGATATAGCATCCCCAACACGTAATCAATAAATTTAGAGAAAAATCAGTACGAATATCAAGGAGACGAAAAGTCGGTCAAAAAAGAAATAGATTACCGGCACATACACACACATGCTTGCGTACATAGAACAATTATTAACCAAAACTTAAAATGAGAAAATCTTTAAAGTGACAAGATGTACATTATGTAGCATTTAATGAAGAAATGATTCCATTGATTTTTAAAGATAATGAATGAACAGTTAACTCGTTGACAAATTACATAACACAATAAGAAACCAGTAACTTGTGAATTTACAATAAAGCCAAAAGGCTATGCTGTCACATGGCCAAGTGCATACAACCACTGCCAGAGAAGTCCTACTCACTGTCTGCTCGTACCACAGGTATTGTTTACGAAACTGAGAGGACGAAAAGCGAATGTCCGACATTTTAACCGGGTCGGTGGATATGGAGGATCCAACTAGAGGAGTTGGAAAACTCTGATTCCAAACCAGTGATCCAAAATTCTGAATGAATAAATGGCGTACGAACTAATTATAGGTCACCGGCTACCATGGGACTGCGTCTCCTGACGTTGCTCCACTGTCCTGTAGACCAAACCTTTAGGTCGAAGGCTCTGGGCGTGGCCCTCTAGGAAAACCACCTACTTTGGTCTGGGCACCCGAGTAGTATCACAACCCACACACAAATCAAGTGACTTATGTGGCGCATATGTATTCGGTGCTCCTTTGTACCAATATTTAAGTGTTCAATTAAATAAATAACAGGGCTATAGAGTAAATCTCAAGTGTTAAATCAAAATATTACTGAGGTTTATTACTTTGTTGAGAAGTTTCAACTAACATTAAATCTAGGTCAACAGTTTATTACCAGTTGGATTCGACCATCTAACATGAAGACATATTGCAAGTGATGTCTAATCATGCAGACTAGTAGTCATATTGCAACTTGATTGATAGAATTTAGTCAGTACTAGAAACTATATAAGTACAAAACTGATTAAAAATCAGTATTTACGGTAAATATCTGTTTTGTAGGATGTTAACTGAGACCTGAATAGCTAAGTGGCAGCGTCACTGACTGTGACACTAAGTAGCATCAGTTCAAAACCCATGAGACCATCGATTCTCTGAAGATTATAGATGTCCCTTGTCGACGAGTGTGAGAACAACCATAAAACCTAGGTCCGAGGCTTCGTTTATATTTCTTTCAATCAAACATGTGTTATTACGACAAATAGAATATCTGGATGATAAAACATATCAATAAAACTAATAGTCCTCCAAAATTCGATCCCTAGTTAGTACATTTGCTTGACGATAAGATTTAAAACAGCTGTTATTCGTCTTTTTTTCTGGACATTACGTACCCAAGACATTAGGCGACATGTACACAAACGGAAACACAAGCATCTACCTAAGAATCACAACAGTCTCTAGTATGCACAACTTTAGGTCATGAAATGATACTATCTTTTATTTTAAAAACAGCCATAGACCGTAATTAGCTATAAATTGACAATCAGCTTACTCGGACACTTTTCTTGCTAACGACTAGGCAAAAAAATGTGAAACTAACTCATAAACATTTTGTCGATCTAAAATCATTACGCAGAGACACAGAAACAGTAATTTAGGCTCCTTTTCATTTGGAAAAAAGTGATATTCACTTCCTATATTTCTAAGCATCTTGGCGATTAATAAATTTAAGAAATGAGATGCGTTTTAGTCATACATTACGAACAATCTAGTCACATATACAATTTTGAAGGCACATATATGAAAACTAATGGTCAATTAAATAAGAGATCAAATTAATATAAAATAACGACTGGAAATGAGAAAGCAAAAATAATATGAAAGGAATGAGAATTAATCGCACTACCTTAGACCTTTGAAAATGTTGGAGATTATCAGAGCAGATGTTTAAGGTTTTACGTATATAAAGAATGTCTGAGGCATCGAACAGCCAAAGCATCCGTAAATTTATAAATGGCCTTTTGAGAATTTCTATACAAAGCTTTGAAAGTTGTTTTAAGGTCAACCCAGTGGCCTATTGAAATTATGTGTATTGCTGTTTATGGCGTAAGTACATCACATACTTCAAATAAACTCGGTCTTCGCATTATACTATAGGGGTTTATGAAGGGGATTAATTGCTTTAAATACGAATATCGACTGTCTCTTTGTTTTTGCTGGCATTAGTTAGACGATTGACTAATGATTCCACCTCTGTAGCATCGAGAAAGGATGAACAGCGGCAGTATAGGATGATTCTTGTTTTCAGAGAAAAAATTTACTTCCAATCAGTTTGAATTCCACATCTAAGACGAGAAACTGATAAATACCGGCTTTAACAGCAAGGTCGATGGCCTGTCTATCATGTATAAAACAAAGTTTAATTCATTATCGTTTCATTTCCCTTTTGCTATACCACGTGGTTGTCTGTGAATATATAAAGATCTTGGAACAAACAATGAGTGGGTGTACCCACGCCACGAATACTAATTTTCAGTCGTTTTAATTAATATGTTCAACAATTAATTCGTGCTTCTTTTCATCTAATTTATACGCTAATAGCACAAAAACAAACAATGTTCCTAAATGGAATAAAAAAGTTGGTTAAGTGTGAAAAGTTTCCATACAGTTTTACTATTTATTGGTCAAGACAAACAACGATTCATTAAATTGTACCTGCCATCACTTGGTTTGTTCATAAAACTCCATTTCATGCCCGAAGGGAAACCAGCGCCACCACGACCACGTAGTCCAGATTTTTTAATTTCTTCAATGATCCAATCACTACCTTTTAGGATAATCTCTTTTGTTTTATACCAGTGGCCCTGTTATTAAAATAACCAATGTTGAAAGGAACTCAACGATAATAATCTTACACGCTGCATGGCACCTTTAAGACGCCAATCATGTCGACCGTATAAATTAGTGAATATTCGATCTTCATCAGATAGTGGCCCATAAGTAGTCTAAATCATAGAAGCATAAAGAGACGAAAACTAACCTTGGTGGTCTGAGTAGTGCTGGTTGGGCTAGCAGTAGAAAAGAATTTAATAACCACGGAATTCCTCCCTGTAATTCATAAAATACTGAAAGTGAAACAAACGTTTGGTATGAATTAATGCAATGGAAAAATGATGCCGTAGGTGTCACTCACCCTTAGTCAAGCTGAAAGAGACACCAAATACACATGCACCACACAACGAAAATGAGGTTGTGGAGATAGAGAATGAAAGGTGGGTATAATAAAAAAGAGCAACAATGAACAGAAATTAGTGTATGAGAGTGAAATAATAACAATAATAACGGAAAGTGCAGTTAATTTAGGGAAAATATAACCAGAAAGAATTCTTTGAGTTGAAGAAGTTACGTCATCTTTTATGAAGAAAGTAAAAGTTACGGCAGGATCGCTACTGACTTCTAGTCTGAGCCATGTCTGATAACGACTCAAGCCACTGTGTAGCACCATTTCCATAAACCCAACCAGGGAGTCGTGAAAGATCGACAGAAGTCAGTCCTGTAAAGCTTTCTTTCACACTACATGATCAAACACAAAGAGTCGTCTAACAACCTCAACACAGAGAGGCTATGTTTTGCAAGCATAGAAGAAAACTACTCTCACAAACGCGTCGCAGATCCAACCCTTTACAGCGAGACTAACGTCAAGGTGCCAAAGATGGCCCAGATTGGCAGAAGCCGCTCTGGTTTTCACTATACATTAATTGATCTGATCCCTCACGCCACCACCAGCACTTACGCAGCTACCTTGATACACGAACTTCTCGACTACTTCTATCTGCTCACTACTCAGAGTGCAGGTTCAAGGTCCTGTCAGTCTTGAAGTTGAAAAGACTACATTCAAATTAAAGTGAGGGTAAGCATTAGCAGTTGATGGGTAAATCCAAAGACCGAAACACCATGAAAAGATTATAGATTAAGTTGTACTGATTAGTTCAATAACCAAGAAAATATGCCCGCATAGCATGACAAGCTATGATTAGAACCAGATAAACTTTGACATTTGTTCAACAAGTAAAGTTAGCTTTTTTCACTTTAGCCATTTTATAAAGGCTCTATTTTTCCTGTTTTAGATCTACAGATCTACAGTAGATAGCAGACTTAGGTCTTTGTTGACGTCATCAAGTACAGTGAGTTGTAATGCAATTACAGGTAAATTTACTTGGTTTGATGCAGCTTTGTAACTAAGAATAATACCAAAATTTAAGTAAGGACACAGTTTTCACAGGATGAATAATACCACCCCATTTCCTCAAATCAAACAAGACAATGTGTTCTAAGCCAGCAATCCAGATACAAGAAGTCATGTTTTAGTTACTGAACTGAGTCTTCACAACTGCTGTCGCTGTTCTTTGTGTGCTGAGCCTATTTGCAGTCTTAAATAATTTCAATGAGTTCGGTTTGAAAAATATACCTTCACACAACTGTACCAGACTTACGGAAAGACTTGTTAAGAACTGAACAAAAATATAGAAGTTTAAGTTCATGCTGTTCTTTCTGCCATAGGTTTTGTTAAAGTTAATCATTAGTGGTAGAAAATTCCTGGCAGATTCAACTATGAATACGACTTCGATTCTTGCACCAAATGGTTTGTCGATCTACAGACCGGGTTCAAGTAGATATGCTTAAAGAACTGATTTTTTTTTCATCGTGTTCTTTAACGACAAAACTGTGACAAAATCCATATGTATGAAGTGTGAATTTCACTACAAATTAAACTTATTAAGTATGAGTGCTCAAGTATTTAAATACTGGAAACGACATGAAACTAAATACTCAAAAATACTAAAAGCATCTCTGCTGAGCAATTAAAATTAATTTGCGAATGAGAGCCGACGAACCATCTTAAATACACCATATAATAAGAGCAACTGAATGGGTTTCGATCGGTACATTACTAACGAAGAGTAGTCTAGTGGGATAACCTAATATCTACTGAACTGACTTAATGAGGCAACAATACAAAATGTGATCGAAATCTGATATGAGCAGTACAAACATTTGAAAATGTTGTTAGAAAGTTGTAATTGTTATTTTAGTCATGAATTATAAGAACAATACCGAATGTATCCATAAAATTGAGGTTACATGTTCGAATCCTTCTTTCCCTAGTTTGATTAGGGCAGTTCATTTAGTATCGCTAACTTTCAGAACCCATATTGGGTTCAAAAAGCAAGTAATTAAGCCCACAATTGACCAACCACATGTTTCTATACATCACTATGGTGAGTTATATTGATTGTGCTTATTGCTTTGTATTTGAATCACACATCACAAACCAGAAAAGGTTCTTCCCGAGACAAGGTCTCGGAAGTCAGAGCTTTTCTACAGCATATCACAACACTGGTGTTCGTAGGGAGTACTTTTAATCTTTCGGATATACGAAAAAATCATAATTGTGTCACACTAGTTAAACGATAATGCCTAGCATTTATCGGTGAAAAATTAATATTTCAAACAGGCACTAGTTATGATTCTTATTCTAAATTTAACCACAGTTACAAAACCCGAAGCAAGAACCATGCGAGTTCAATGATGGCACGAATATGCCAGGTGTCAAGTTAGCTTACCAACACTCAAAGGTAAAACCTTCGTGTATCTCAGCATTTCCACATTGGCGCCATTCGAGGTTCAACCGAAAACTTTGACATCCATCGCAGATTATAAAAGAAGAACATTAAAAAGCCTATTCTTCTCTCAGTGACTAGACTATCTATCTTGAATCTACAAGGTATTGACTTATAAGGCACTGTTGAATACATTTTAGACGGCAGAAATCACCATGGTGTTTCGCAAGTCGTCAGGTTGAATGCCCTAGGCTGTAGTCATGTTGGAACGTCCACTGGAGGCTCATCAATGAAAAACATGAGTTTTAAGGGGCCTAAGATTCATAACATGTGGTTCTGTTGATTTAGCGATCAATAAACAAAACGATTTTCTCAGACTTTCAGTCTGATTTGTCAAAATATTTGGCGATTTCCAGTGGGCGGTAGTCTAAAGATTCGACTTCGATAGTTCTGGTTAGTATTTTTTAACAGTAAGTTTCTATACCTTGCCAAATGAGTTGGTGCGTTTACCTCGGAGCAACAATATTCCTGGAATCGCCAGTTATCGCACAAACAGGCAGGAAGTATGTTGGTCTCATTGTAAGACAATAATCAAGGGAAAAAACTGAAACGCGTAATAGCTAAGAAAATACGACTGCCTAAAAGAGAAATTGGGTCAATTAATTAGATCATATTACGTATGATGTTGGCAGAAGTGTAAGAATAACAGTAGGAGTAGATGAACCCCTAAACTCCTCTTAGTGTGTATTTATATCTTTCTGAACTATGCAACCCGCCATGTTTCAATCTGAACCTGGCTTTTTACTCTTACAACTAACTTAACTGTTGGCCGTTCTTATAGTAGCATTACGTTATGGGGTTCTTTCTTCAGGGAAATCATAAATGCATAACTGAGCCGATGGCTTCGCATATATAAATTTCTCTGCACTTCAAGAGAACGATTATACAATTGCCACGTTAATCCATCCTACATATGGGTCACTTGAGATCACATACATACTGATTTGATCGAAATTAAAGCACCCTTGTACACTCAAAGAAATCTACTATTTTTGATATTATCCTTATCCTTTCCACATAATCTTCAACAGTTTTATTCGTTCCCATTTAGAGTACGGAAACATAGTATTTCCTCCCTCACTCCAAAAGGATAAGGAGCTAGTCCAAGCAACTTCTCAGGAGTCCTTTAAGAAACAATTTGATCTATTCTTAAGGAGTAAGGATAGTGTCATACCATGATTTACCAATTTCTTTTTTCTTTTTTATCGTTAATATACCTAGGTTCCTGCCTGGAGATATTGATTATCCCTTGCTACTAGGCACAGAAGCCTGTTAAACGAAAGCTTCCTCTATTTCGTCCACAACCATTTGCACCATACGTGCCCCATCAGGAAAAACGTACGAGCCACATAGATCTATACGAAATAACAATGAATCCCTGCCAAATAATCATTCAAACTGAATTTATTATAGGACAAATCAGTAAATATCGAATGTCGAGTAAAAACATCTGAAGGTCAAGGGAGCTAAATACTGGAAGAATCGGGAGACTGATTAGCTTTATCTTACTTTATCGTTATCCTTAACATAATATTTTATCGGCCAGACTGTTTTTAGATCTTGCCAATATTGTTGTCTCAGTGAATGAACTTGCTGTAGTCGTTGAGTAAACGGATCCTTGTGTCACTGTTCGTCCACAAGTTCTGGTTTGGCAGTTGAGTATAAATAATCACCACATTTCATTCTCGATAAGGTTCAAAATACTCCAATCGTGACAGTGTTTTATAATTATCATACGGCGATTAGATTTTTTATTATTGACCTAGGTCCCAAAGGCTTTTCCAAACATCTGAAGTCAACAATTATAAAAGTAATTCCGAACATTAAGGGATATCCCGTGACGTTCACATACCCCTCGTCTCTTTTCAGTGGTCGTTTCAGGTACAAATACTTGTAGCTAAAAGTGGGCCAGAATTTATTGATTAAAAGATATCCAACTTTATACATTAGAACGATCCTGAGGATTTTATTGTCAGCTCAGTGTTGTTATTAGATAGATAAATTTGATTTCTGTTTAAACTTGTCATAATCAGTCTTAATTTCACATGGATTTTATTACTGACTATCAACCACCTCAGTCCACAGAGTGGACAATTAGCATAATAAATAGCAGTAGGAATCTAAATATTCGTTCGTGAGAAAACGCCGGCAAAATACGCTAAAATGTTTGTTTAATTGTCTCCCTAAGACAAACTCAGAACTGTCCTATAATGTAATTTGACCACATCAGTATTGGCTGTTGTGAATGGAAAATGAACAGAGAATGGGCCGTTTTCGCGATGTGTCGATTTTTTACAACTGGCGCCAATGTTTTGTACTCCCATAGACAAAATCTTGACAACATGATCAAAAAGTTTACACGATTACGTATTTATAACTTACACGGCCAAAAGTATTGTGGTTCAAACAAGGGTCATTCAATTCGTCTTCGTGATACAAATAATTTTATGGCTTCTCACTTGTCAGGAGTCTGTTTAATTTCGACACTTATTAGATGAAGTGTTTCATGATGTCTGCATATCATCAAAAATTTAATGATGTACTTTTTAGAATAGTGAAGATGCCACAGGTGTTCGGAGTTTGACAACTCTTCAACCAGTAACACCTTCTAACATGAAACGTACCCACCAAGTGAAATCAAAAGACAGAAGCGAGGAGATCGATGATATATTTGATAAGCTATCGATATATCGAGGATCGTTTGAACTAATCTGGCTAGTGATTGTGACAGATGTTGAGCATGGCGTTCCCACACGTGATCTGGTGCGGACGCTTGACCGAGTACCTTCAGCTAGATCAGTCCACTAAAACTGTGGTCAACATCAAATGTCGAAAACTTACAAAGCTATTTATTTTGAGGAATTATTTACCGCGACAATAGGTTTAGGGACTTTGTAGTGTACTCCATTATTATCTAAAAGAATAAAATCACAGTTCTAGTATAGACTTAAAGTAACACATAGCTTTATATCGTTATTAAAAAAAGTTCAAAAGACATTGTTTTTATTGTGTCTTGTTATATGTTGAAGGGCGCAAATTTGCTTTGAAGGCCGTAGACCTGGTCGTGGTTTACGGATTTATTTGTCAGGTAGTACTTAAGTATTTAAGTATGAAATGTTTTTAATCTAAAGTTCAACTGTACGGTTATTGTGATATTCTCATTCAAGTGTCTAGTTCTATCCCAATTGTTGTTTATGTACAAATTGAGACGATCAGTACGTTCATTGCGGCTCTTACAATGATCAACATCTAATAGACTTATTTTTGCGGTATATAATAACTTAATATTGTCATCTTAGTATGTTACACTTGGGCGCAGTTTCTTTTGAATGTAATAGGAGAACACTCTCAAAATTTTAAGACCAACTTGTCTAAAGTATATTGCTGTGTATTCACGATACTTCTGTTTAGCTTCTTGGTTTTCTCACCCCGGCCTTCCCAGTTCTGTTTATATTTTGCGGTTCGACTTCATAGTTCGTCAAGTAATAAATGACTAACGGAGTGAAAAACGTCAATAAATACCTAAATTTTGTTAAAAAATTGTTTTATAACCAGACCTCATGAGGATGAGGGACTGGATGATGTACATTAGTTTTGAGATTTTCAACACCATGGATGATGTAAACAAAATACTATCATCATGTTCTTTTTTAGTAAATTCTTAGTTAAGGACCAGGTACGCATGAATCTGTCCACACCATAACATTTTACAGGTAACACTTATTCCCAATCTGTATATATTTTTCTTTTCTTTGGAAGTAGCTGGGACCCTACTAGGACCACCTTACTTAGTTTGACAAATTACTGATCCCCAGTACTTTCCTAGATAATCTTTAGTAAGCAGTATATATTAGTGCACTTCTAATGATTCATCACTAACGAACCCAGGCAAATCCATTAAAAGTCTAAAGCTCCAACTAGATCCGGAATAATCGCTTCATTCATACCTTCTCCACTAGATGATGAAATTTCGGTGAAATTCTTTTGTAATAAGAAAAAGAACCGTGAGAATCAAAAGAAGCTAAGTAGCCAAATGGGAAAACGTCTTTTGTTACAATTGGAAAATAATCTTTTAAAGACCCCTATTTTCCACTTGATATTTTTTAACTCATGTCAGTAAGAGAAATTAAATTTGATTATAGTTGGAGATCGATAAAAAGTCAATTATATTAGTGAGGTGACTTTTTGCTGCTATTTCTACATGTCTTCAAATTTGTAGTGCTATTTTTTAAATTTACCAATAAAAGTTATTTATTTTTTGAACTTCACACCGTTCAATTTTTTTTTATTCGTGATAAGAAGTTTGGTTGATTGTAAACTTATCGTTCATATATGTTGACACCAGTCATTGCCATGCTGTACTTTTAATCCAGCAAGCCAAAATACCGTTAAAGATCATCTCGCGATACAAATGAATAATGATATTTTTGGAAATACTCAATAGAGCGGTTGAGGAATCTCTTCTATATCGATTTGAGAATGCAAAGAATGGGTAGGAAATCTTTTCTTGAGTTGTTAATTATCCAATAATTACCGGCAGTTTAAAATTCGAGAAATTCAACCAAACACTAGCTGATTTTGATGGTGCTATTTATCATTTAAGAAGTGTCCCAAATGACCGATCAAAAATTCTTGTCAGTATTACACTAAACTTTTTTCAAGAATTACAAGAACATGGAGCAAACGAGGTTTGTCAATATTTATGGTTTTATACATTCATTTCAATATTACAAAAATAACAGGTATTGAGAAGAGAATACGGTCAGTATTTATTAAATAAACCTGAAGATGGTTGCAGTGTCTCATTGTTATATGATCTGGAGCATTTACCAGAAGATTATGCCTCAATAGCACAGAAAGCTGCGTTATTAAAAAGAAATTGTTTTGCTGCTGTGTTTGAGAAATTTTTTGAATTTCATGCTTCTATGAGTGAAGAGGCTGTTGGTTGTAAAAAAGCTGTCATACATTATAGACCAGATGAAACACTGTAAGTGCTAGTATTTACTAGTAAATTTTTTCGATGTCACACATGGTGTGAATTTGTAAAATTTTTAACTATTTTTGACCATTATATGACACATGACTACATATCGACTCAGTTGTATGAAATGTGAGATATACACCACAAAAATCTCAACTGTGCTACTAACCCGTCCATATGGAAGCAAATAGATTGATTTCAAATTTATCCTATTTACTGATAGTGGTGTAACTCTTTGACACAATATTATATTAGTTCAAGATATACTTTTCGTCTGTACAGTGACGTAAAATATCAGTACGGATTACCCAAAGGACATAAATGAACTAATGATAAGTAGATGCTTAAAAATCCGTGGCCGATCAAGATATTTTTGCGTAAAACAGGGGTTTGTTTTTTTACAGCTCTCGAATATCAACGAGTGGATTACAAACGCTGAACAGCAAGGCGAAATCACGCATTAAAAATGTAACTAAAATCGAGCACATAAACACCTGTGCTTAATTACAGAGTTTCATTCATCAACGTTTCCGACAAATAATCACCATCACAAAGGGAACTTTAACCAGAAAAATTCAAGTTATTCACCAGTCTCATCGATTGTTGGTTACTTTATGGCGTAGTCTAACGATACCATTTTTGAGCGCCTCTCATATCGCGTCAGTGTCTGTTTAAACCCCCTCAAGTTGGAATTTTGACTAAATGCGAGTACATCTAACCACTAACTAATGGATATTAGTTGGATTTTCAGTTTATACTCTCAATTAATTGACAGAACTACTTAAATACTGACTTGTGTTATGTATATATAGCTATAGCTTAGTGCTCGAGTTACCAACCAACCAACTGATTCTAAACTTCCATTTTGATCGGTGATATAGGTTTCTGCAAACCTAAATGTTTTCAGTGCGAATTATTTCATCTATATTTGTTACAGTCTTTCGAATTAGAAGTTATGAAGCATTTTTAGTGTTCTACTCAGAGATAAATAATTTTAAATCATGTTAACTTTATTCCTACTGTTTTTACTGACTTTTAGCACTACTGATCAGGCAAACTGTCTTTAATAGAATCCAGCTGTAATATGTTCCATCTAGTAGAGTGAGACTTGGATACAGTCGTCTAAAATATATGTGCACCTAATCTATCCTACCGCCACTCCACTACAGCACTTCAACCGTCTTCATGTTAAACACCCAAATCCCTAAGAGTGGGGAGAGTCAGTTCTCTCTCACGAAATGCTCTCACATGACCAAGTGCATATAACCACTGCCAGGGAAGTCCTACTCAATGCCTTCTCTCAGCGGAGGTATTTTTTTTACGAAATTGAGAGGACGGAAATCGAATGTCCGACATTTTAACTGGGTCGATGGATATGGCGGACCCAACTAGGGGAGTTGGAAAACCCTCATTCCAAACCAATAGTGTACATGGGCTCAACGACCTTGTTGGTAAAATGGCGTATGAATCTACTGTTGGTCACCGGCCACCATGGGAGTGCATCTCCTGACGTTGCTCCACTGCCCTGTGGATTGGACCTCTAGGTCAAAGGCTCCGGGTGTGCCTCCTTAATAAAACCACCTGCTTCGGTTTGGGCACCCAGGCAGTATCCCAGCCTTCACACAAATCGAATGATTTATGTGGCGCATATACATTTGGTGCCTCCATGTACCAATGTTTGTGTGTTTAAATAAATAAATAAAACGCAATAGCGAAAACAGGAGAATAAGCCTCCTGAAAATAAAAGTTTATTTCAACCTAGACGTCAATACCAACAGCATCTAACGCGTCACTGCACGTGCTCCGGTGGCAAGGTAAACCGATTGGAGTGAATTCCTTGTTGGTAACAAGGAAGTAGCTAAGTTCATTAACCTCCTCGTCTAGGAAAACTTCATGATATCCGGATGCTAATAACAACGACCTAAAACTTCACACACTTCTCCCAACACAACCGTAGCTGCTACCTTGATATGTTATTCGGGCTTTTTGTTCTCTGAGCTGGATGGCTTGGCCGTGGAGCTTTCATCACCAGACCAATGGGAGATACAAAAAAACAAAAAAGTAAACAATGACAGGTTTAAGATCAACAAGAACTAACCAATATTGAGGTCTACAGGACAGGCTGTGAACCAACCCCCAAATGCCCTGGTACGGCCGAGAGTAGGGAGAGTCCGCTCTCCCACTCGAAATGCTCTCACATGGCCACGCGTATATAGCCTCTGCCAGGGAAGTCCTACTCACTGCCTTCTCGTGGCGGGGGTGTTGTTTACGAAAATGAGAGGACGAATAGCGAATGTCCGGCGCTTTAACCGGATCCCAAATCAATGGTGCACGTGGGCTCCAGTATCCTGAAGGAAAAATGGCATATGAACCATTCGTTGGTCACCGGCTACCATGGGACTGCATCTCCTTGCGATGCTCCACTGCCTTGTGGGTCAGACGTTCAGGTCGAAGGCTCGGGGTGTGGCCCCCTAAGAAAACCACCTGTTTCGGTTTGGGCACCCGAGCAGTACCACAGCCCTCATACAAGTCAATTGAGATTCGTGTGGCGCATATGTATTTGGTGCTTCCTTATGCCAATACCTATGTGTTAAAATAAAATAAATAAATAATAGTGAACCATATGTGGATAGATTCGAACACTTCACTTCTACCTGAAGCTTATGCTGATGATGTCGTTCAGAAGAACGATGAAAGCTTCGCGACCAAACCATCGAGCTCAGAGAACGAAACCACATCAAAATCATCCACCTGAGTTAGTCGGGTTTGCATATCTTTATGGTTAAATCAAGTTACATTTTCCGTAACACTTATCCCCTTAGGCTCTAATATACCAGGCAAATCGGTTGGAGAACGGTAAGACTAAAGGGAGCAACTTGAGGTTTAAGGGCGTAGTCTCACTGCTGACTGCGTAGGGCTTGCCACTGCATCATCTACACCGATGCTGTCTCCTCATAATGGAAGGAATAGGCTGGAAACAGTCGACGTTAAAATGACACACTTTGCTCCACAAGTCGCCTCTAGCGCCAAGGCCTTTTGAAGTATAGAGCCAATTCATTAAAAACTCGCCACAAAAAGACCATGTGACCGTCCCCAAGAAGTTGTCCTTAGGACTGCGGTGACGCCCCCAGGTCGACAAAATCACCATTAATCCGTTTCCTTTCACGAGTCCCCCAAAAAGTAAGTGTCTTTCTAGGGTGTAGACAACCGAGAAGTGACAAATGCTTTCGTACATTTAAGGCGAAGTAAGGTAATCTCGTTTTGCAATTAGAGCCAGTTTTCATCATTAAATATTACTTCTAATCCCGCTATCAATCCTCATCTGTATTTGAGCTCTCCAACTTGTACCACCACTAACCAACAAAAGGTTAGGAAAGACCAGTAAATTTTGGTGCTACCCACTGAATGCACCGAGGCTCCAAAACTCATACCGATAGTTTCGGAGAACGATAAAGAGCTACGTCAACTCAAAAATAAACTAGAAAAGTTTAGGCAAGAAAATCAAAAGAGACGAAACAGGCAGTGACTGTAGGTAACACTAGACAACTTTATCGATGTACCAAGGAAATAGATAATAAAAAGGCAGTTGTTAGTGAAGCTATTTAGAGAGGAACGAAACTGTTATTCCATTTTAACCTGGGAGATTAGACAGATAGGCAGAACAATTTAGGCAGCAGTTCAACTGACCTGCAGCTATTCTGAAGTTACCATCATCTTCAATCAACATAAATGATAAATCGATACAAGTTCTCCCTTAATGAGGTTGGAAAGACCATAAGTAATCTAAAACTATAGAAAGCAACAGGTACTAATGACTTAACCCCAGAGATCTTTAAGAATGGTGGTTTAGTTTTAGCAGTTAACTACGATATTGTCTAGAGCCTGGGAATAGGATGTAATCCTATCTGACTAGCCCTGATCTATGATCGTTCCAGTCTACAAGAAAGGACAAATTTTTCCCTATAATAACCGTGAGGGAATTAGACCAATGAGGTGTCGAAAATATTAGCCTCAATCGTAATCCAACGTTTGCCTAGAGTTCATGAAAAACACTCGAAAACACCAGGCTCGTTTCAGACATGGAATTGGATGTATTGACCAAACACCCACTCTTCGCCATGTTTTAGATTATTGGCATAACTACTGACGCCCGATTATGCTTTATTCGCTGACCTTAAGACAGAATTCAATTTTTTTTGGCCGGAAGGTTCGGTGGTTATAATTGTCATTGTAAGTTGTACCGAAGAATCTTATAAAAGCTCTCCATCCAGACATTATTGGTCGAGCCAAAGCTTATAGAGAACTGTCATCAGAATCATCACCCTCAATTAGCGTTTATTAGGGTTACCACTTTCCCCATTTTTATTGGATTTTGCCACCGATTTTCACCTCAAAATAACGTTTCGTTCGGTTAACTTTTCAGGGGGATTTGTTTTATCAAGAGGTCCGCTTATCGACTTAGATACGCAGATGACATACTTCTGTTTGGCGAGGATGCCGACAAAGTTCAGTCTTTTGACCGCCTCGGAATGAGATTCCTTTTAAACACAAAGTGCCGTTCATAACCGTGCATTAATCTCTCAACTAATAATAGGCAGTGAAGTAGTTGAATTTTGGCATCCTTTCATAAATATCTTTCCACTTTGTCTTCTCAAAACATAGTCTCAAAGTTTAGTCTTCGTTTTTATTATTGCTACTACATTAATTTGATTTCGTTTGTCATCTTTTCGTCGGGCTTATCAGGTACGGTAACTTGGGTCAGGTACATCTGTACCAGGCACAATATTGATGATATCTGTCTGATTCATGTCTAATTTCTGATACTCAAAAAACGGGAATTGAAATCATTAAAGGAGGAAACAGAATTTAAACTAGTGATCATGCTGTCAAATTGTTTTGTCAAGATTGTAGTGCACAACCATTTACGCAAAGTTTCTCCTACATTTACTCCACCACAATTTGTTCCTATTTAAAATCTTTACACTGTTTCATTTTCTTGTGACCAT